CAGCCCAGCCTCTCCCAGTGTCCCCCCTCTAACAGGTCCTTCCTTCCACAGAACCACAGGAAGGGTCAGGTTGGAAGGGACACCGTGTCCCATCTGGTCCCACCTCCCTGCTCCGGCAGGGCCAGCCCAGAGCACACGGCTCCAAACCGTGTCCAGATGGTTCTGGAATGTCCCCAGTGAGGACACCCCCTCTGGGCAACCTGTTCCTGCCCAGCAAAGAAGTTCTTCCTCATGTTCAGGTGGAACTTCCTGGGCATCAGTTTGTGCCTGTGGCTGGGCCCCCCGAGCAGAGCCTGGAACAACACCTTGTGTTGATCCCAGTCTGAATTCGGTGTTCCTGGTTCTCCCTGAAGCTCCAGCAGTTGTTACCCCTGGGCTGTCTAACCTGCATTCCCCCAGGACCCCCTGGATCCAGGCTGCAGCAGCCCAGCACAGGTTTTCCCAAGCTGATGGATGGGGAGGTGTTGGTATGGCAGCAGTTCCCAAAGGCTGGAATGGGAATGCACAGCCTGCACCAGTCATTAGCAGAACATTAGCACAGACAATTTTCCAACAGACTAGCTCCGATGGAGAAATCTGGGAAAATGTTTCTGTGGAGAGATGGGAGGAACTGGGATCAGTGTGTGCTCCTGGCTCGCAGCAACGGCAGAATAAATTGCTTGTCTTAGCCCGAGGTAATTTTCTTTGTGGATCTGATCCCTCCAACTTTTCCCTCAGCACATCCAGTGCAGATGGCTCCTGACCAAAGCCTGGGTGATGCTGCTGCAGTAGAAAAGAAGTCTTGCAAGAATGACCCACTTCAGTGAGGAGAGGGAAGATTTCCTGTGGCAGCATCACTGTTCCAAAGCAGACACCCAGATATCCAAGTGCAAACAATGTTGTTTCTCTCTTCAGTGATTTTTAACAGTGACCATTAATATACAGTTGTCAGAGAAGTGACAACACTTTGTCTTCCTACTACCAAGCAAAAGTGCTTAATAACTGTTCTTTTTAGCTGGCAGGTTAACTGGGAACACTTTTAATGAACAGTTTATTTCATGCTTGTCCCTTCATATTCTCCTCTCGCTGCTCTGGGGGCTTTGGAATGTTCTTTTTCTTTGGATCACCCAACCAACCAAACAAACCCTTCCAGAGCCACCAGCCAGGCTGTGGCTGGAGTACACCCCTCTTCCCAAGGGAAGCTGCAATGAAGGACCTGACACCCACCCTCGTAATCTTGGGCCAAACAAATTCTCACTATCAACCAATTTTTCAGAACCTTGGGGGAGAAGGGATTCTTGGACAAACCTCTCCATGGCATCTCCAGGATGGGAGACAGGAGTGGTGCTCGTTTCTGTCCCCAGGGAGCAGGAACAAGCCAATATCCCAGTCAGCTGCTGTGGCTTTGCTGGTGACAGAAATGTGGTTTCTGACTGCCCTGGGTCCTGGGAGGTGCCATGGAAAATGCATTTACTGAGCTCTGGGTAAAATAATTCCCTCCGTATCTCTCACATAAAATTAGCCATTATTTCTGCTGCTATCAAGTTACCAGCTGTTACAACTGCTGTTGGGGGCTGCAACACTAGAAAATAGGAATTTAACAAATGAGAGGGAAGGCAGAGAATACTAAAACCTTTCCTTCACACACTTGGTGTCTCCTGAAAGGAGCTGTAACACCCCCTCCTGTTCAGGGGAAGTTTCCTCACCCACCATTTTCAAAAGACATTTTTAAGACAGAATTAAAAGCAGTGCCATCAGCCACGTGTTAATATTAAACACCATTTTCAGAAAAAATCCCAGCCAAATCTGTGCTAGGACTGTGCTGAGGGAGGACATTTAGAGGACAGATATTTGCCTCTGACCCCGAGAGCCCAGAGCTGCTGCTCTGCCCCTTCCAGCGTTCCTTTAGGAAACATTCCCTGGCCTTCAGCACTCCTGTTGTTCTCCATTCCCTCTCACCAGTTCCAGTGGGAGCTGGGCACTTTCCCAGGAGCCAGCCCTGGTTTATCCAGATGGGCTGGTGATTATTCCCTGGTGACTGTTTGGAACTGCTCGCTGTCAGATGTTGTTTTCAAAGCCTGGTTGTCCTCCAGCTTATCCACACACAAAAAATATTCCTACAGACGTAACTCGTCTAGTTTTTATGAAAAGATGTGATTAGCATGGCAACAGTAGAGTTGGAAAAGACCTCTCAGATCACCCAGTCCAACCAGCACCACCTTGTTCTCCACTAACCCATGTCCTCCAGTGCCACATCCCCACATTTTCTGGACTCCTCCAGGGCTGGCGACTCCACCCCTGCCCTGGGCAGCTGTGCCAGGGCTGGACAACGTTTTCAGTGAGGAAATTTTCCTGATATCCCATCTAAACCTCTCCTGGCACAACCTGAGGCTGTTTCCTGTCATCATTACAATTCTAGACAGGACCTCAGACCCTGAGAGGAGTCCAACCTTGCAGCACCACAGTCCTGCAGCAGAAAACCTGGGGCTGTTTTATTCCCTCAGACATTCATTGTGCAGAGGGGTCTGGCCAGACTGGAAAGCTGAGGATCCAGGGGCAGAGGGACAGTTTTGGTGACCTCTCTGCTGCCTCTTTAGCTCTGCTCAGAGCGAGGGATGAGGTTTTACACATCAGAAGGAGCTGAAGAAAAGGTCCAGGACTTGGAGTGTCCCTCACACCAGCACAGCACTGATGGACTGGAACACGTGGAGCTGTTGGAACTTACTCTGTGATTACCCTGGATTTTCATTTATAGGCTCATCCCAGCTGCCCTGGGCTGGGGGAGGCTGGAGACAGCAATGTGCAGGTCGTTCTAAACAGCATTTGCAGTTAAAGAAAATTAAATCCATTTGCAGGAGAAAATAGCTGGAGAAGAGAGGGAGTTGCTGTAACTTGTAAAATGATATATTTGCAGTGATCATAAACCCAGAGCTCTGTTCAGTAAACCCAGAAATGCCTTCTTACCACAGATGAACAATAACTGCCACGTGCAAGTAAGAGGATATAAATATTCAACAAAGAAAGGATCGAATTGGATTTTTTTTTTTTTTTTGCACCATCTAGACATGCTCTGACATATTTTAAAAGAATCTTTGAAGTCCTTTTCAGGCAGTTTGATTTTTCAGAGTATGATATGATTCCTATAGATCCAGCAGGGCTAAATCAGCAGGAGAGCATCATTAGAGCCCTCAGGTGTGTCAGGCACGGACTCCTCTCTTCACCCACGGAGGAACCAGGTCCAGGAGAGGCTCTGGGGGCACCTCCTGGACCTGCCCAAGATCCTCACTGGGTGAAAACTCTGCACTATGAACTGGCAAATGCTGCCATTTGAAAGGTCTGCAATTAAATCAATTAACCCCCAGCTTTCATCAATTTTCCTACAACTGCCTGGGTCGGCTCAGCTACAAATGTGTTGCTGTTGAGGGAAACATCCCTCAGTCAGCACAGCTCGCTTTGTTCCAGGCTCCACCACTCCTGGTAACACATTCCCAACTATTTCCATCCCGTTAGGCTTTGATTCTTTAATGCAGTCAATGTCTCAGTCAATTCTTCCATCAGTTGAAAGTTATTAGGGAAGGAGTGTTGGTTTTACAGCGTGTTTTCCCCTCTCCAGCAAAGCCTCTCATTCAAGTCTCAGAGAAAATCTGACTCCACAGGGTCAAATCCTTTCTGCCTCCCATTCCTCCCTCCCTTCCCCCAAAGCACAACCAGAATAAAGAATAACAGTGTAAGAATAAATGTGCAAGTGGTGTTTGGTGGTTCTACCTACAGCACTGTATCACAATCTGAAATAAACCACTCTCATTTCATTATTTAATATGCAGATCAGATGGGGAAGAGTGTAGTACAAATGGCATTCCTGTCACCTCTATCCACATGACTGTTTTAAACCTATTTTTAAAAGCTGTATTTAGTTTTGTTATTTTATATAGTACTACTTTTTGTGGGCTGTGACTCAGTTGAGGCTTCACTGCACTTTAATTGACCAAGATGCATTTTCCTGCTTTCTGCCATTCCCGTTTCTCACTGTTGTGTTCCCTCAGATATCCCAGAATCACAGAGTGGTTTGGGTTGGAAGGGACCTTCAGGATCATCTGGTGTCACCCCCAGGGGCAGGGACACCTTCCACTAGTCCAGGTTGCTTCAAGCCCTGTCCAGCCTGGCCTTGGACCCTGCCAGGGATGTTTTATTTATCCCTGTTTGCTTTACTTACATAAAAAGACAAAACTTTATTTTGAGAAGTCTCCACTGCAGTCACCAGAGCAATTTCCCAGTAAATGAGAATGAGAAAGACTTTACTGAGGGGTTTTCCTGGATTCTGTGTTTAAAGCCCCTCGACACCCCAGATGATCTGAGGTACCTGGACACTGGTGGGTTAATTTAAATGGGCTCTTGCATGAAGAACTTCAGGCTAAGCAGATATTAAAGTGCGGTTTACACAGCAATCAGGAGTTGTGGTGACCAGTCCATATGATCCCAGTGCAGTACAAACAGCTCAAATAAGGGCACTACATTCATTTAATCAAATTTACTGTTATTGTTTGGTGCTGAGCTGGATTAAATCTAAGCTGTTATCTGGAACTGATTTGATTAACTGGGATGAATTTTGGCAAAGTTCATATGCATTTAGCTTCAAACTTACAAACCAACAGCTTCCTGAGCCTTAATTCCTGAAATCCAAGCTCGGGGACAGCCCTGGCACTGACTCCCTGGGGACTGTGCTCCCCAGCACACCCTCCTCCCTCAGCACTTCCCAAACCACTCAGACAACTGCTGCAGAGCCAAACAGACAGCTATCCCAAAGGTTTAGCTTGAGATAATTCACTCAGATATTTCCCATGCAACACCAAGGAGGGAGTTCCAAACCCTGCATAACTTACGGGTCCAGAGCGGGATTTGTGTAAGAGATTGGTGTTAAATCATGATTGTTTTCAGGTATTTTTCTTCAAAGCTTGAAGAAACTAAATAATAGATGAACTGTGTATGAGCTGAGCATAACATATACCCTAATCTGTTTTCAGGAACATCTTCAGACACTGATTTGCAGAAGATTCTGGAGCACAGAGGGGAAGCCGAGGGTCTTCAGAGCGTTGCTCCTCTTCTCTAAACTCAGCCAGTCATCTTTCACCTTCTGGATGTCCAAGCCTTTCACCTTACACCTCAAGCTTTACATTTTCTGCCTGCTACGGGATCAGCCTCTCCCTGTGGTGGGATTTTAGGGAGCTGGGGAGCTGAACTCCCTCTCTGGCCAGCATGGCAAAGGTGAGAGCTGTTTTAACTGTGTGCCACGTGGTGCTGGAATTGTTACTGAATTCATTGACTGAGTCTTCCATGCAGAGCAGTGAATGTCCCCAGCTCTGTGTCTGTGAAATCAGGCCCTGGTTCACACCACAGTCCACGTACAGGGAAGCCACGACGGTCGACTGCAACGACCTCCGGCTGACAAAGATCCCCAGCAACCTCTCCAGCGACACCCAAGTCCTGCTGCTGCAGAGCAACAACATTGCAAAGACCACGGACGAGCTGCAGCAGCTCTTTAATTTAACAGAGTTGGATTTTTCACAAAATAACTTCACAAGCATCAGAGATGTGGGGCTCTCAAATCTCACCCAGCTCACCACTTTGCACCTGGAGGAGAACCAGATCACGGAGATGACCGACTACTGCCTGCAGGACCTCTGCAACCTCCAGGAGCTCTACATAAATCACAACCAGATCAGCAGCATCTCTGCAAATGCATTCTCTGGCCTGAAGAACCTGCTGAGATTGCACCTCAACTCCAACAAATTAAAGGTCATTGACAGCCGTTGGTTTGATTCGACTCCCAACTTAGAGATTCTCATGATTGGAGAAAACCCGGTGATTGGAATACTGGATATGAATTTCAGGCCACTCTCAAATTTAAGGAGTCTGGTTTTGGCAGGGATGTACCTCACAGACATTCCTGGCAATGCCTTGGTAGGCTTGGATAGTCTTGAAAGTCTTTCCTTCTATGACAACAAATTGGTAAAAGTTCCTCAGCTTGCACTTGAGAAAGTTCCGAATTTAAAATTCCTGGATCTCAACAAAAACCCAATTCATAAAATCCAAGAAGGGGATTTTAAAAACATGCTCAGGTTGAAAGAGCTCGGGATCAACAACATGGGCGAGCTGGTTTCTGTCGACAGGTACGCTCTGGACAACCTGCCTGAGCTCACAAAGCTGGAGGCCACCAACAACCCAAAGCTGTCCTACATCCACCGCTCGGCGTTCCGCAACGTGCCCGCCCTGGAGAGCCTGATGCTCAACAACAACGCCTTGAACGCAGTCTACCAAAAGACCGTGGAGTCCCTCCCAAACCTGCGAGAGATCAGCATCCACAGCAACCCCCTCCGCTGCGACTGCGTCATCCACTGGATCAACTCCAACAAAACCAACATCCGCTTCATGGAGCCCCTCTCCATGTTCTGTGCCATGCCCCCCGAGTACCGGGGCCAGCAGGTGAAGGAAGTGCTAATACAGGATTCCAACGAGCAGTGTCTTCCAATGATCTCCCACGAGACCTTCCCCAATCACCTCAACCTGGACATCGGCATGACGGTGTTTTTGGATTGTCGGGCCATGGCGGAGCCGGAGCCAGAGATTTACTGGGTCACCCCTCTGGGCAATAAAGTCACCGTGGAAAGCCTCTCTGACAAATACAAGCTGAGCAGTGAGGGCACCTTGGAAATCTCCAACATCCAGGTGGAAGACTCCGGGAGATACACCTGTGTCGCTCAGAACATAGAAGGGGCTGACACCAGGGTCGCCACCATCCGCGTGAACGGGACGCTCCTGGACGGCACCCAGGTCCTGAAAATCTACGTCAAGCAAGCCGAGTCACATTCCATCCTGGTCTCCTGGAAGGTCAATTCCAACGTCATGACCTCCAACCTGAAATGGTCGTCGGCCACCATGAAGATCGACAACCCCCACATCACGTACACCGCCAGGGTCCCGGTGGATGTCCACGAGTACAACCTCACGCACCTCCAGCCCTCCACGGACTACGAGGTGTGCCTGACGGTGTCCAACATCCACCAGCAGACGCAGAGGTCGTGCGTCAACGTCACGACGAAGAACGCGGCCTTCGCGCTGGACATCTCCGACCAGGAGACCAGCACGGCCCTGGCGGCGGTGATGGGCTCCATGTTCGCCGTCATCAGCCTCGCCTCCGTCTCCGTTTATATTGCAAAAAGGTTCAAGAGAAAAAACTACCACCACTCACTGAAAAAATATATGCAAAAGACCTCCTCGATCCCCCTGAACGAGCTCTACCCTCCCCTTATTAACCTCTGGGAAGGGGACAGCGAAAAGGACAAGGACGGCTCTGCGGAGACCAAGCCCACCCAGGTGGACACATCCAGAAGCTATTACATGTGGTAACTCAGAGGATATTTTGCTTCTGGTAGTAAGGAGCACAAAGACTTTTTTGCTTTATTCTGCAAAAACCACGAGTCGAAGACTTTTGTATTTTTGCCTTTGCTGGGGCGTGGCAGAGCGTGGGGTGGGGGGCGTGGCAGGAGTGTTCCGTACAGCGTATCGCGGCGAACGGCAGCTCCACCCGCCTTCCCACCCTCCCGTATTTTATATTGGTTTCCTTTTTTTTTTTTTTTTAGTTCTTGTGCTCACCTTACTGCTGTTCTAACTCAGTGCTGACAGGGGAGGGAGAGGCTGGGTGGCCCCGCTCCCGAGCCAAGGCCAGTTTGGGACCTGCAGTGACGGGGTTTGTGAGCCCGCTCGGAGGACTCGGACCTGGCAGAAGGAGACCCTGAAGGATGTTAGTTGACTGTACTGTAATGTTGTATCAACTGATCTGAATGTTTTTGACTTTGAACAATGAGTTCCCTTTTTTATTATTATTATTATTATTGTTATTATTATTATTATTATTATTATTTTTGTAGTAGTTGAAGGCTTAGGCGGAGCTAACAGGCAATAGGAGTACGTACATCCGATTTTCTAATGTAACAGACTAAATGGTATTTGTTCTCTTCTTTTTATTCTATTTAGTAGACACTTTTGAGGAATTACTAGAGTTTTGTTGTGTTCAGATCACCAACACACGGTGTTTAATGAAGGCAGAGCTATAATAAATTTAGTTTGGTTCTGATTTTTTTTTTTTTATTTTAGAAGTCACAATAATGTATTGGGTTTAGCTGTCACTAGTTTGACTGGTGATCATGTTTTGACATAAAATATATCCAAAATGTTCTATAAAAAATATCGTGAGGGTTTTTTCTTGATGGAATTACATTTCAACAAAGTTCCAGGTTTTGGGGGTTTATGCATTTAGGTTATAGCAGTGTTTTCTCTGCATTACAGGTAAAATACTGAGAATAATTTAATGAGAGCAGTGTCTCGGTACGGCTTTTGGACTGAGAGTCACATGCAGAATCCAAACTGTTTGGCATCAGCAAAAATAACTGAGAGAGTGTGTAACAGGCCCTTTTCCTTTTTTTTCTACTTTTCTGTTTATATTCTGAGCTAAGATCGAAATGAAGCTGACATTTAGCTGTCATTACCATCAGTTAGGACAAAAAACCAACTCAGTGCTACCAAACTGAAATAAACCACTTAAATCTTGGTATATACTTAAAAAAAAAATTGGGATTCATGTTTCTTTAAAATCAGAAATTAAGATTAAAACTGACAAGAAAGTTATGTTTGGGTCTAACACTGAACTGTATTTTTTTCAGGCTTAAAATTAAGCAGCATTCTGAGTACTGTGGTAGAAGTGCAACCTCAGAGAGCAGGGCTGTGATGTGTGCACTGGGTCCAATATAAAGGCATCATTTACAGCTGAACCCACGGGATTGTTGTCCGTTGTCTTTTCTGAATCCAGGGAAGTTCTGCACAGGGACTGCACACAAGTCACGGCAGGGTGGGATCTGCTCAGCACGTGGTTACACTCACATCAGACCCCAAAAGCCACCAGCACAGCATTTCCTACACTTTATGACCACTGGCAGTGTGCAATTTTTACATGTTTTACAGACCAACTACAGTCCTGGTAAGTCAAAGTTCATTGTTCAAAACGTGGATGTGCCTGAGGTTTGGGGCTCTTTGAAGTTTTTAACTCACCAGCTTCTCAGATATATCCAAGACCCTCCCAAAAAATTTACAGAAAAGCTTCAAACTTCCCCCTTGTCTAAAGGTGAAAAATGACCAACATAGTTTCACAAATAAGTTGCTTTGGTGCAAAAACTCGAGTCCATCCCTTGGCCCCCTGCCCTGTTGATCTTGTGTTTCAGGGTGAAGCTGCTAATCCTGCATTTAAATCAAGTCCTTGTGCTGCTGTACACAGTCCTTTCCATGTTCATGAGAGCTCATACACTTTTAATCATGTGGCAATTAGATGTTGGGATCAGACAAGTGTCTTTTGATCATGGAGAAGTCACAGGGTGGAAGGATTTATTCATCACCTCCTCCTGTATTTGTTTGTAATGTTAATGGGAAATTTCCTCCTGGCTTTTTCTCCAGCAGAGCTACAGAGCAATAATTACCATCTTGTCTGTGCTAACCTTAAAACTGCAGGCATGGGGAACTCCTCTCTGTTGCAGTAAAGATTCACTCAACTCTTGCCAGAGAAAAGGACACTGAGGACAAGGGTGGCCACAAAATGTTGGCTTCCAGCTTGCCTGGCACCGTGACATTGTCTTTAGGAAACAACCACTGAACAGTGTCAGAGGGTGCAGAGCAAGGCCCCTGTTCCATCATCTCCTCAGCTTCCTGCAGCGTTTGTGCAGGATCACAGAGCCAGCTCTTGTGCAGACACAGTGCTGGCAGAAGGGAGGGTGGTGGGGACACGTGGCCGTGGAGAAGGACAGAGCAGCACCCCAGCAGCACCCCAGCAGCTCAGAGGGGCAGGAAATCCATGTTTAACATGTTCCTTTCCACTGGGGAATAACAGGCCTCGTGTTCCCTGCAGCCCTGTTTGGCACTTTGCTGTCATTTGTTATCTTTCTAGAGCTGAGCTGCTGGAGAACTGCAGGGGGAAATGGCTTTAAACAGCCACCCTCTCCTCTGAGATGTGCTGACCTGCAGGATTCCAGGGAAGCTGCTGTTGCTGGGAATCCTGGAGGGAGATGCAGTTACCTGAGAGCAGCCAGAAGCACCTAGTTAGGGCAGTGTGTTCTGCACACACAGCCACCCATGAGCAGTGTTTTTAATCTGACCCCACAGAATTCTGCAGAGATCCCCGTGGATATTTAAAATTTTGCCAATAAAAGAGTAAAAAGTGGGGGGGAGATTAATCACATGTGGCATATAATCTTAGTAAATAACCTTCAACCTCGTGCCAGCAATTTTATTGTGCTTGCAGTTTATTGTGAGCAAAAATAAAAACACTCTAATTGCCTTCAAAACATATTTGTATCTACTCCTCACTGAAGACAAAAACACCCCCAGTTTGCTCAGAATCAGGGACTGAGACTGGCCACTTGGAAAACAGGAGGGGAAGGCCATTGTTAGCTCTCATTTGGGTAACAGTTCAGCAGTGCTGTGTAAGAGGACACATTTCATACCCAACTAAACTTCTGCTCTGTTACTTCCCCTTGGCTGCCCAACAGTAAAATATTTCAGTCCCCTGAAGAGTAAATAACTCGCTCAGCTGTGGGATGCAGGATTCCAGCTAAATCCACTTTTCATTCCTCACTTAAATCATCGTGTTCTATATTCTATCATAATATTCTCTTATTCTATAAAATACCCCCATTTGAGGGTATTTTCACCCATGAACCAACACTGGACATGGCCTTGGGATGAAGAGCACAGACCCACCAATGTGTTCCCACGAGCTGCTCACAGCCCTGCCCCAGGAGGACTCTGAGCTACTGAAGGAAGGCTGAGAAGAGACCAACAGTTTGGGCCACTGGTTTCATGAAAGGGTTAAAACTGGAAGTAGGTCATGGAATTGGAACCAGAGAGAGGGCATAAACTCGCCCTATTGCCACTGACAATCTGGGACATCGAGTGATAAAGGAGCATCTTCTTTGAGTTCAAATCAGGCAACTCCTTTTGCTTTGTGCTGCAACCTTGAAAACAAGACTGAGGACACAGCACAGTGAAATTCCTGAAATTGTTGGGATAAGCAGCTGAGATGTTCTGCAACATCCCCACACAGCTGATGGACCCTGATGGGAACAGGAGGAGTCACTGGGGCACACCTTTGTGACCATCTCACCATCCTACAAAGCATCACAGTGGATATGCACACAGGGATGTGGGACTGGAGCTGGAAGGAGCCCTTTCCCAACCCACCCAGCGCCCCAGGGGTGGCTGTTGGTTGCACTGGGATCCTGTTTGACCACAGGAACACCAGGAATCTCTGCTGCAGCTGGGATTGGCCTTCTCTAGAATTGATCACTAAGTACAATTTTCAAGTGACTTAAGAGCTCACAGCTCATTAACTGCAGTGGTGCACTGGTTCAAAATCAGGTAAATGAGATTTTTCTCAGTTGCATCTGGAAGCATTAACTGTCCTTAAATTCTGAGCAGCTGTGAAACATTTTCTGTGGAATTTTATAGTAGACTTTTTTCAAACATCACTTGAAACCTTAATTTTTATCTCGGTTACAGGGGTGGGGAGATGGGATTTAAATCATACAATCCTCTGTGGAGTCACTGATTTGCAGTGATTAAAGGTGGTAAAAAAAAGTGTTTAACCACTGCAGCTCCAGGTTGCTGCTCACAACTGGAGTAAAAGTTCCTGGCAGGTTTTTGGCTCTCCCCTTTGGTGACACAAACCCATGGCTGTTTGGAGCAGCTTTGGAGACAAAGGCATCAGTAAATCTGGCACTGGCAATGCCATTGCCCTGGTTGGACTCCCAGAATTTAGCCAAACTTCTGCCAGTTTTTTAGGAAGCAGAGCTGAAGCCCAGTGCTGTTGCAGGAGGCTGTGCCATAACCTACATAAACTGCAGATAAAGCATGGCCTGATATTCTGCTGATCTAAACGCACAAAGGAGGAGGGGAAACCACGGCAGGAGCGTCTGCACAGGCTCATATCTGAGCAATTACGGAGCAAGGCTTAGTGTGAGAGCCCAGCCCAGGGAGCATCTGGCTGCTCCTGCCCCTCCTCCTGTGCTGCCCAGGGGAAGCACAACCATCAGGCCCAGCAGCTCCTCAGGAGTGTCCTGGAGAACAGTTAAAGGAAGGTGCAGATGTTTAAGTGCTCCACTGAACAGCACTCAGGGGGCTCCTGCGATGGCAGCAGCTCTTTAAGGCCGTTTGCAGGTCCCTGAACAGCGGATTCCAATGGGTTTTGTGGGAAATGATGCTGTTAGCAGTTACTGTAGTGCTCCCTATCCCCCCACCTGGGAGGAGTTCTGCTGTCACACACCCCACGGGACCAATGGCAGGGAAGTGGCTTCTGTGGCTTCCACGTTCTGCTGAGGCCGACAGTGGGGCTCTGAGTGTTCAAGGTTATCAACCACAGCGAGCTTTTCCTGAGCTGTCTATCAGAGAAGATTGGGAGAGTGATGCTGCAGCTGCAGTTATA